CGCAGAGCAGGACGAGGCTTCTCGGTTCCTTGTTATCCTCACACTCGCCTCCCCCTGTCTGCCTCTGCCGCCGGGTGCCCGCAGCTGCCCTGCCCTGTACTTCTGTGCAACAGAACGGAGAGCAGCAGCCCGCGGAGGTCCACTCGGAGCTGAGCACAGAGCTAGAGACCCTGTCCTCCTCCCAGCCGTGCAGGCGCAGACAGAGCCCTGGGTGAGTAGTCTGGGAGCTCCTTTACTCCTTCAGGCAGGCCAGGAGCCATTCAGGCCACCTTCTCCACATCCTTTTCTTTCCCTGTTCTTGTTTGTGTGCATGGAAGGTGCAGGAGATCCCTGTCCTCAATTAGATTAGTCAAGCTGTGATCCTTGCTAGGGGAGGGATTTTTGAAAGGTTTTCACTATCCAAGTCTTAAGAGAATGTCCTACTAGCAAGTTCTATCTCTTAACTCAGAACCCTTCTTCTCCACTCATGAACAAGCTTCTTTCTTTTCCCTTTTTCTTCTTTTTTTCCTTCTTTAGAACTTGTCTAGCCTTAAAAAATTGTCTCCTTCATTTTCACCTACAAACGTGTGTAGGCAATAAATATTTTGAAGCCAAAGATAGCCTGAGGGACTTTGTAGTGGTTGACAGTTGTAACTAAAAAGTGACTGAAAATACCTGTGCTTTTCTTTTGTTCTCCCTCAGGCTGAATAGTCATGACAGCTGAAAAGACTATTCCCATAATTAATGGCAAGCCAGAAGATGTTTTGGACCCAGAAGCCTCAAGTACCAACCTCGTCCACAGCAACGATAAGAAAGTTCATGAAAGAGGTCACTGGAACAATAAGATTGAATTTGTGCTTTCTGTGGCAGGGGAGATTATTGGGCTGGGAAACGTATGGAGATTCCCATATCTTTGCTACAAGAATGGAGGAGGTAAGATGGCATCAAATATAGATTTAAAGTTCACTGTAAACGCATGGTAAATAATTAAAAAAGCTTTGCAATGATTTCTTGCACTAGTTATAAAAGATAGACGTTCAGGATTTCAGTATATGTGTAGATGGGGAAGCTTTAAGATCTGAGAAGTAAAAAAAATATGGTGTTTCCTTCCCCTCTCTTCCCCAAATGTTGCATGGTTTGCTTTCACAAGTTTTGTGCATTTATGGATTTATATTTTTTAACTGTAAAATTTATAATGTAGAAGAAACCAGTGTTCTGTTAAAACAGACTGCCGTGTGTTTTCTTCCGCGTGTCAATACAGACCCATGCGTGCTTAAGTAAGTTTGTCCGCCACAGAAAAGAAATTAGCAATTTATTTCCAAAACAACATACTTTGGAGAGAATGAATAGCGTTTCTGATAACGCTACAAAGATTACTATTTTCATTGTCACATGAAAATTCCTTTAATTCAATTGTACCTTCCTTAGTCTTTACTCCCCAAATCACTACACTAGGATAGGGGAAGATGTCAAGTTCACTGTCATTGAAAGAAGAGTACTCATGTAACAATGAGGAAAAAAAAAAATTAGAAACGCTGTGAACTGGATTCAACACGCTTCCACTTAAGGCCTGACTCAGTGTTAGTGTAAATACGTGTGTTCAGTGGCTGATAAGTAAAGACTCGTTTTTTAACAGGTTTGTTTGCCAACAGTGCAGTGCCAAATTTCTTTGCCTTGTTCCTCCAAAACTAAGCGTGGTTGTCTGAACCCAGGGATGATTTTGGCCTATTTTGTCTGCTGTTTCTAAAGACTAATGCACAGCAGGTGTATTTCTGGTTTGCATCTCCTTTCTTTATATATCTGTACTTTGGCAAAACGAAGATGACAGGAACACCCTTTCCAAGAATGATGCTACCTAGTAATATTTTAGTATGTAAATGTTAATATGCTGGATATGATATGCAGGACAATTTTTCCTTGTTTGGGAAGGGAAAATATGAGAATTTTTCAGTGTGTAATGAGGATTTTCTTGCTCATACAGTAGCCTTCATATGCTCACTTGTAGTTGTGTGTATAGGCTAGCTTGTTAAAATGTGATACTATCATTTTTAAGTGTGTAACATTAAGTAGGAGAAACTCCAGTCATGTTTGGGTGACTTGTTGAAAATGTGTTTAATTAAATATCATATTTAATCACCAGTGCGTTCTTTTAGATTAGAATTAGCAGGTGTGTTTCATTTGGTTATGTCCTGGCACCATAGACAATTTGCTATTAACTTCAGCTTTCTTCAGTGGGATTTTGGTCTATCATCTTCTGCCATCAACTTCATTTTTGTTACTCTCTGGAATGCTTTGCTGGAGTTAGACTAGAGTTGGGCTTGCTTGATGTATCAGATGTGAACAGTGAAAACTATCTAGTGTGCAGTAAGTGAAGTACAATGTTGAGATATGTGAGGTAGTTATGAAATAATTTGCTCAAGTACAGAAGCAATCCCAAAACAGTAGAATGGAACTTCCAAGGTCTAGGCTATTTTGGATACATACTCCAGGTCGTAATATGTATTGTAGAAATAAGCCTCTTTAATTTTAGTTTATTCTTACTGGCATTTGGTAATCTATTTACAAAAATCTAATTCCATTAAGCATTTTGAATTAGGTATTTGTTACTATCTGATCGGCAAGCTGAGAGGCTTGATTTCCTCTCATTTTCTTGATATATATTGATTGTTTATCAGTGGTGGAAAAACGGTCAAAGCCAATACTTTCAAGTTGAGCAGATTCTTGTGGACTAGGGTTGTGCATATGAGTGGGCCAAGCTAGATTTTGTATTGACCAGCAGTTCTCACATCACAATGTATAGAGATTTTGTTTAAGCCATTCGCAGTGAATCATATGGAGAAACTATGTTTTAGATGCATGGATTCCCTTCTCTGTGAAATACATATGTATTCCTCAAGATGCAGCTGAGATTCAACTACAGGCAAATCACCTGGCTGAGGGAACAGATTACTCATGAGGCAGAGCTCTCTTAGTGTACAGGATCTGAAAAAAGAAACTGCAAGTCCCAAGGATGCTACATAGAACTTTTCAAAGCAGGTGTACTTAGTTGTGTCTCCTTTCTAAGTCAAAGCAATTAAAATGTAACAACTGTTGCAGTTTCGGTTCCTTTTTTTAATGATCTTGAATAGGATCTATGTTTACCTCATAGTTGTAGAAATTTTCCTGAAGCATTAGGAACCGTTTTGCTCATAGCTAAGATTCTGATAGATATTCAGTATATTCAGAGGTAGATGTTAATATGCTGTTCATTAGTGTTCAAATTAATTTTCAGGACTCTCGTTGAAGGGGATATGCTGCTATCATTAACACTTTAAAGAATGGATTGCTCTTTAGAACATCGTTGCTGTATGCAGCAATGGACAGTATTGCAAAATATGTCTCCGTAGATAAACTGTATCTGTCAAAACTTGCGATTTTAGCACATCTTCTGTTGATTTGAAATTGAATGAAGGGCAGAATAATTATATCATTTAGTGGCAGCGTTAAATGAAGTTCATTAATTCTGGGATTATATGTTCAGGAGCGAGTAGGTTGAGGCCTGGATACAACACGTTATGTATGTTGTACTAACCTGTCGTGATCTAATTAGAAAATTAATGCTTTGTTGTTTTCATACAACTGTGTATTCTGTATAGTACTTTCCTTTGCTAGTCTGCCTGGTTAAACTAGTGGAACTTTGTTTATTGATGTAAAAAAAGCAAAATCAATTATTTTATGCTTTCTTCTTAGTATTTATTTTCTTCTTTCCTTGTTTCAGTCTAAACCCATAGTGGTACTTGCTTTACACCTCATCCTTTGACTCATCAGGGAACCGGAGCACCCAAGGAATGAGGAAAAAAGTTCTTCTTTTGGCCTTACATATTTGCTGATTCTCTTTGTGGTGGAAAGGCTATATCTCATTCCTTGTTACTTAGGTTCAGTTCTCAGCGGGATATGTAAAAACTTCATTAATAGCAGTCGTGCTATTCACTAGCAAGTGACATTCTGCCTAGCGTGTGTATGTTCTGTCACTTCTTTACTTCTGGGTACTTCACAGCCATGTTCTGTAGGTGCCATATGTAATGACATAATTAATCGTGAAATAATGCAGTACTTCTGCAATATGTAAATCCATAAGAGAAAAATGATGTTTTGTACAATATAATTCTTCAGCACTGAATTGTACTACTTATCAATGTTGTAATTGACTGTCAGCATCTAATAAAAACGTTGAATGGTTTATTTTCCTATATTTTCTCTGAAATATCTCCAGCTGGTAAGGCCAAGCCCTATTGCCCTTCTTCTTGTAATTAGTTCAGTAACTTATTTCATCGTTCACTTTTCATGATCCTTATCATCAGGCTTATCAGAATAATATACACGCTACTTGTTGAATTTTACTTCATAACACTTTTCAATTCCTGCTTTCCTGAGAAGGGCAAAGAAGAGAAGTTAGGATAGACTGACTTGGTGATAATCAGAGCAGAACTGTGTGGCTGAACACGAATGTAGCCTTCTGTGTGTTTGGGAGAAACACGAGAAGAATTTAGTCTGTCGTGAGGAACTTTGATTTGATCTTTTTAGTCCCTTGATATTGGCATAGAAATTAACTTTCAGCATTTGGAGACAGGAATACGCATTTTCTGCACTTTTAATGCATACTTGTGAGTTGGCTAAGAGGTGTTCTTTCCTTTATTAAGAAAATGCATTTTCACTAAGCAGTCAAGAAACTTTATTTGTTGTAACCAATACTCCCTCAATGTTTGCTTGTAGGTGCTTTCCTCATCCCCTATGTGGTTTTCTTTATTTGCTGTGGAATACCAGTATTTTTCCTGGAAACGGCCTTGGGACAGTTTACTAGCGAAGGTGGGATTACATGCTGGAGGAAAGTTTGCCCTCTATTTGAAGGTAACAAAGATTCTCTGTTCTACTGCAAAAGAAGGCGTTAAATCAAAACTAAAGTAGAAGATGTCATATCAAAACTGAAGTTAAGCTATAAAGTAGTGAGCATTTGCTTTTTTAAATGACCTGAAAAGTAAAAGGTTTCTGTGTGTGTGTGTGTGTCTGTCCGTCTGTCTGTTTTTTTGTTTTTTTCTTCCCCCCTCCAGGCATTGGATATGCTACCCAAGTTATAGAGGCACATTTAAATGTATATTACATCATCATTTTAGCATGGGCTATCTTCTATCTGTTTAACTGCTTTACTACAGAGCTTCCTTGGGCTACCTGTGGGCATGAATGGAATACAGGTATGACCTCAGTAGAGATTATTACTATACTAAGTAATTGATTCCCGTATCTTTGCTACAAGAATGGAGGCGGTAAGAAGGCATCATATATAGATTTAAATGACAGGTTACAATCTTACTCTTTCACTCTAAGTGAAATCAATAGGAGTTTAAATGGAGAGGAAAATATTTGAGTAAGACCTTTGGATTTGATCTTTTTAATGCCAGATGTTGAGGGATATTGGATTGTATTTTTACTAATGTGCACTACGCTACTTCTGAAAACAGCCAGATAGTCCTTACTGCATGCAAAGTAGCCCCTTACGTGAAAAATGAGGTATGTATTCATAAGGCTTTGCAGTACAGGGCTCTGCATCTATCTTCTCATCAACAGTTTTATCCATAATACTGTACTTACTGTATTCCACTTGAAGATCACAAAGGCCCTATGGGGAAGAATACATACTGATGTCCTTCATTTCCATGTTCCTATGTTTTTGCCTTTTTATCTGTCCAATTTCAAGTCATGTACCAATCATACTGTCTTTTATGGCTTTTATTAACTGGACATTATGTTCCTTGAGTACCCCTAAAACTCTATCTGAAGTCTGTTGCAGTTTGGGTTATGTCAAAGAGCTAGCCTTGTGCCCACTAGATGTGGAAGGCTTCAGTATCATTTTTGGCATCCCTGCAAAGAAGTCTAGCCAATGTTGATTGTTGTTCAAATAGCAAGTGTCAACTCAACAGTGCTGAGCTGCTGTGATCTCCTTTCTCTATATTGGAGATAATAATAAGCCAAAAAGTGCCTTTTCACTTGGTATATTAAGGCAAAGTGGAAACTTGTTGCTGGCAGTGTTTCATGAGCTAATTGTTGTCACTGGGCATTGAATCATCAGCTGGAGAAGTAATATATTTTAATTCCCAAACAGTCAGCTCAGTTTCTCAAAGCTTCTTTCTTGTGCCACAACAGACATGTTATGGGTCTTTGCCACTGTAACAGTGCTTGTGGCAGGTGTAGGAGAATGTAGCATATAGCATGAATATCTTTCTGGGTTGGGTCTCTGCTAAGGTGATCAGAATACACTATATTGTAGAATTAGTGGCTGTAGCATTTAGGGGTACATGGAAATCCTTTTAATGACCGCGAGTAAACGTATTACAGAATTGGTGGCTTTTCAAAATGTAAATGCTACAAGAAGAAATGTTCTTACATGTTGTAGAGCAAACTTTTCTTTGTTGTTCTTTTATAGAAAACTGTGTGGAATTTCAAAAACTTAATATGAGCAACTGCAGTCAAGTCTCTTTACAAAATGCCACTTCTCCAGTCATGGAATTCTGGGAGTAAGTGCACCTAAACTTACCTTTGACCAGAGTATTGATTACCTTCCAATATTTTGATCATTTGCAGGTAATTAGACACCTTGCAACCCTATAGCGCTTAGTGATGTGAGTTCAGCTGGAAATTTTCTCATATAGTCAGGAGGGTCAGGATGAGAGTTTAACTCTTTTTAGAGAATGCAAGGAAAGAAATTCCATATTCTGAAAGAGCATAGAACAAAATGTGCCACTTGCTTGGGAGCTTGGCTCCTGCTGCTGGAGGAAGAGTGTCAAACTCATACTGATGAGGAGGCAGAGGTGAAAGAAAGAGAATGGTTTTAAATATTTGTTTCTTCAGAATATTTTCCTCTCTAAGAATTACATCTTCACATTTGTTTGAGCTCAATGATATTTTGGCCTCTGTATTTCATTATTTCTGAATGGACTTGTAAGTATTAGTTATTCAGCTATAATAATAACGAGAACATTATCATTGTGTCTCCTTGCTTCTGGTTTCTAGCTAGAGTAGTAAAAGAGAATTATGTCTTGACAAAATACGGGCTGCTTTTGCGATGACAGATTTTTTTCTTACTATAAATGTTTCATTGGTGCAAGTGTAGCTTCATATTTGTTCCTTGCAAGGCACGGAGTGTGTTAGGACAGTCACAGAAATGGAATACTACTTTTAATGCTAAGTCACTTCACATTTCAAAACTATGTTACAAAATTTAGGATTACTAAATATTCTTGGAAGCCTATTCTGATATTACTTATCTGCTGGCAGAGTTGTATTCTGAGGCTCTATGTTCAGAGCTTTGTTCTGTATTCAGAAATGAATAACTACACTTTGAAAGGCCCATATATGAAGACCATCCTCCAAGGGCGAACTCTATAGATTGACATAACTTTCTTGAATGTTAGCATGTGCTATTTTGCCTCTGTATCTCTTAGTCATGCTGCATCAGTTACCTTAGCCTTCATAGGTGGTAGTTACTGGTTCAGTCAATACTGCTATTGTACAGTTTTTGTTTTTATTTTTCCTTACAAGGCATGAAATTGTATCACACTCTCAGGTTATAACTGCTATTTTATTTTCTGTTAAAATATCAGTAGTTCGAAGACCTGGCAACTTACCTCAGAATTCATCCACTCCACCCACTCCCCAGCTAGCATTTCAGAAAAAAACAGATACACTTACTCAGATGGTGTCTCTTATTGCTATGGCTTCATCATTTTACCAAAAATATATTGTGGTTCTTTGGGATAATTGAACCCAAGATTTTTATGTAGTTACACTAAATGAAAAAAGAAATACTCTCTCCAGTGCTAGCATTATTTTCCAACTATGTTTATTTGCTTATTCAGTAATGAAAATTCAGCAATTGATGGTAACTCCTCAAGTTGACCAGGGAAGCAGGCAAGGTTCAGCTGAATTATAGAGAGTTCACAGACTAATTTCATAAGCTATGTTTTGTATGCCTATGTTTCTTTGAGCAGGGGGGGTCTCCTTGGTAGTGCTCGTTTTTGGATTGCCTGAATCCTCATGCTAATGCTGTCTTGGCACAAATGCATTTTAAGCCTGTCCCTTCTCAGCACTCTCTAGAAATGAAGCTAAACAAGATACTCTAGCTAATAGTATAGCTATTTTGGCTAAGAGTTAAGAATGAATTCTGAACCTAGAAGGGATAATCAGTTTCAGCTTTTTCTCTAACTTGTATTGCAGGCATGTGCACACAAAATTGAAAATACACACTCAAAAACTTGAAAAGTCATAAAAACAAATGAGAACGTGAATAAAATATTATTTTAAAAGAAATTTCTAAATGTCTCTGTTTTCCAGACATGATAAACCCATAATTCCATTATGAATTCAGATCAATAGATCTGAAATGATCTCCGTGCTTTCCAGGCGTTACAGCATCTGTTAAGAAGCCACGCAGCCAGTCATCTTTTGTTATTTATCTGGAACTTTTTCCTTTTTTTGTTGTTGTTGCTGTGTGGACAAGCTCTTGATAATGCTAACAGTTTACTAGCCAAAATAGCTTAAAATGAACTGTTATCTACTTTCCCTGTCCAAGTAAAACTGATGTTGCATGGCTTTCCAGCCTTGGAGAATGAATGCACTGTTGTCCTGCTGAGGAAGATGCTTGCTTTGTTAAAATTTAAGTAGATGCAATGTTGCATGATTTTGAAATTTAGAAGAGACGTGACATAAATTAGTTTGAAAGGAGAACATCAAACTTAAGAGTATACTTGTTAAAATACCAGGACTGGGGCTTTCTATTAAAATGATTGATTACCTGAGATGAACAGAAGATTATAATGAAGATATATGTCATATATATCAAATATATAACTGCACAGTACCGGCCTGTATGTATAATGGCAGTGCAAACCGTGGAAAAAGTAGTTAGTAAGCAGGAAATCTTTTACCAGACTAGTTAATTTGTATAGTAAGTTATCTTATGATCTGTAGAAAAGTGTTACCAGAAATGTTGTTTCGCTTAACTGGAGATCTTGTTCACACAGTGTTGTTTTACTGCTTTATAAATCCTAGTGTCAGGGACTAGAATTTTATTGAAAGACTCTTTTTGCAACAAATTGTAAGAGTAAGCTGATGAGGTAGATTGCACAGCGCAGAAGCTGGTTGTTATTTGCAGAACTCAAACAGCCAGGGTGTGATAATCTTCAGTGCTGCGTTAACCAGTCACAGGGCTGAATTTATTTGCATAATGACCAGGTCCCTTACAATTAATTAACTTAATGCCTGTGAAAGGAAGGGGGAGGCAGTAGTTTTTCTTCTGAACAGCCACAGCATTCAAAACTTCCCTTACATTTTGTTCTCTGCAATGTCTAAACTGTGATTGGGACTCCTCTAAGTCATGGCCACAATAAAGTGAATTTATTGTGGAAAGGGTCAGCTGGGGGAAAATAAGTTCTCTGGTCTGTTACCATCTACTCTTGAGATAATCTGTGAATGATAGTGGCAATTATTCTGAATAGTGATGCTATTTGCATACTGTAAGAGACCTCAGCTCCTGTAAAACTGAATGGTGCAATTGTTAACCATCAGGCTGATGTTAAATCTTTCCTTTGATAACCAGATAACCACAGCCTTCTAGGGTATTCGCACTATGTTAAGACTTAAAAAAAAATTCAAAAAGGGAGAGACACCCCCAAAACCTTTGGAAACTTGGAGAGGACTCAGTATTTACAGAAATGCATTTTTCTTTAGTACCATGTGTTTCCTTCAAGCCCATTTGTCTGAGTCTAAGTGTTAGTAATAGTGAGAGATGTACAAGTTGCTACTTATCTGACAGCAGACTAGACTGGCAGGTTTAAATGACAGCAGATGTTAGTAGTGGGGCTAAAGCTGGAACTGTTTTCGTGTGTGTGTGTGTGTGTATAAATGAACCCACTAGGCCCAAAAAGTTGTCTTTGCTTCCAGCTTTGAAAAGGAGGCTTTTTTTGTTTGATTGGTTGGTTTTTTGACTTAGAGTAATAGTTGAAAGAAAAAAAAAACAGAGTCTTCCCCATCATCCAGGCTAGAAGGCTCAGCCCTTTTAATTTGTGACTGGAAGGAAATCCAAATCCTTATTCTGTTTGAGGATGGCAAATAAAGTCCTTGCCCTCCCTGCTGAAATGTTTCTAGCTTTTATTTCTTCTATGTCCTTGGCTCCTTCTAAAGTTTTTGCTGGAGTCAAACAACAACCCACCCAAGCACAGTTGTTGCCTGAAAGGATGCTCTGCAGCACTGTGAAGCTATTCTGACATGCAGACTAACAGAATTACTCTTCATCAGGTCTATACAGAGGATACTGTTTCCTTGCTACCTAGGCAAGTATAGGTTCGCTTCCTCTGATATTTAGACATTCCCTACCAACTTTGACTGGATCACAGACAGCGGTTGTTGGCCTATTTATTGTCTTTGATGATTTTTTTTTTTCCCCCGCACTCAATGTAGAGATTAGTACAACAGTAGGTCAAAATGCTATTTTTCTCTTGATATACTCAGAAGCATGCTATTATATATGCAAGCGCTGCAAAATTTAAAATATGTTTTGTTTGCGAGCCTGTAACTGATAGCTACTTATCTGTAGCTGTACAACACAAATGGTCTGATCCTGCTAAAAAAAAAGCAGGCAAAGTCTGGGAGTTTGGACCCTTTTTACTTGTTTTCCTGCTTAATTAGAAATCCCCATCCCTGTTAATGAGTGTTTAAGGGTTCATTTGCGTTAGCAGGCTTTTCACTGACTACAGACATCAGTATTGACAACTCTGGGAAAAATCAGACACATGAGAGGGTTTCTTACCCATCTTTAAAAAGACCTTGTAAACCATGGCCTTGGTAAGTTTCATGTACCATCTGAATATACAGTTTTCTACGGTAAGCAGCTGAATCAATCAGAATTCACAGTTTTTCTCCTTCAAATTCTCTCATACTGAGTTCCATAGAAGGACAGACAAGAGTCTGAAACTTGGTATTTCATTTCATATTGGCATTCAGGACACGTCCACTTTACTACTGTTTATGTCCACTTTACTTACTGTTTCTCTCATCCTAAGCTGATAGCATGGTAAAAGTTTTGCTAAGAAAAATGTTCACGTTTCTAAGGTATGGCACTCATAATTTTTGGCATCCAAACTTTAAACAGTGAATAGTAATAGCTTCAGTAATAATAGAGATGTTGATCATCTTAGATAACGTTAAAGGACACCCCTGAAGGACTGCTGTGGTTGTTGATTAGACTGTTTTGCTCTCCTGGGAGGCAGAATAGAGAGAAGATACTGTTTCATTGTTCCATATTCTTTCCTAGGTGAGGAAATTGCCAGGCAGTTAGAGGGGGGCAGCCAAAAGAGCACACCAGTGTGATTGGTATTGCACCAGTGTGTCACCATGGTCTGCGGCTCAAGCTTTCTGGTGCCTGGGAAGGGAGCTGGACAGAGAGAAGACGCATGCTATTGAGGTTGTTTCCACCTCAGTAGTTCCTTTATTGGCTTTATAGCAACAAGTTAGTCCTCTG